AGGGCTCCAATATTATGTAGCTGCAGTACCAGAGGCTGCACAATGTGCTCCTCCCTGTCAATGGGGGTGCTGCAGCAACTCCTGGGACTGTGGCTGCCCTGTGACAGATTATTCTTTTATATTCTCTTTGACTAAAGTCTGGATGTCATATTTGGCGAACACACCCTCGCGAGAGAGGTGAGAGAGTGAGACAGTTGTGTGGACTCTCCTGCTATTAAAAAAACTTGCTTTGTCATCGCTGCCGCTGGTTAAGTTGATAATTACCGTCAGACCAACACAGCACTCAGGCCACCACGGCCGTCTGCTACTTTAATCTCCACAACGTCTTCTTGTTTACAGTGTGGTCGGTCAGTAGCGCACAAGACAATAGGCTTCACTAATGGACCAATGAGCAAACACTATGTGCAGGTAGTACTCATGGGAGTTGTAGTATGTTTGTGTGTAGAATTTTTTTCAACACGCCAAAGTGGCTAGTGGGAATGACTGTGTTTAACCGCCACGGAGAAATCCACCCTCATTTGACAGGTGGCGGGTGTTAATGTCAAGCCCCAAAAGGTTTATAAGGTCTGGATATACAGAGTGGCCCTCAGAACATAGTACTAAGAGTGAGTAAGTGAGATATTAGTATAGCAGATCAAAATGTATTTCCTGTATTCAGCACCTTTAACACCAGTGATTACAAATTATTTATAGTAAAATTCCCAACAATACACATAATTTACACAGAAGTTATGACAAGGAACGTGATAATAGGGAGACCAAATTACAGATCAGTGAAGTAACTTGGAGTCGTTCCAAACCGTTTTTGTCAGAAACTCCAGGTCAGATGAACTTATACACTCACTCGTCGTCATCAACATTAGATATCCAGTACCTTCAGTCAAATATTTCAGCTGTTTATCCATGCTGTTTGTCTTTTTATAAAAGTTGCAGTTAAATTTATTGCTGTGTTTATGAGTATCAGATAATTTTAAGCATTTGACTGGTGATGGCTTTCAAAGTCGACACAATTCAGATTGTTCATAATCAACATTTTGTGAACTTGAGTTTATAAAGTTTACATTGTTAAACATATAGAGATGCTGGGTGTAAAAAACGACGCAGCTCTCTGTTGAAAGAAAAAGAAGTAATGTCTGGTGTTGCAGAGATCACACCACGTTTCATAACACCACACATCAAATGTGAAATGCTTCACAGTATAAATGGAGATGTACAGTACCTTGTACTGAGAGGAGAAGCACAACAAATCCACTCGCTGCTGTTAAACTCATAGCTGCTCCTTACGTCTGTTAAGTCACATCAGCAGGTAGATCAGATACATGAGAAATCCTGTATGTCAGTAAGTCACTGTAAACATTTCTAATGAAAAGGGGAGGATGTTTAACAGACACTGATGTGTTAAAAGCTGCCCTCTTTAAATTATGCAAATTATGCTTCCTTCCTCTTTACATTATGCACAGATGAATGTCTGTTAAACTCAAGTGTCCAAGTTAAAATGAATCTTTATTTCTACTGTTTTTGCATGATGCGAAACAGTGATGTTTTATGAGTGAGTCCCAGTTGTGTTTGTCTCTTGCAGGAGGAGGACAACATTCACCCATCATCACAGGACTAAAGCATTACACATTCCTGCTGATGGTTACAACATTTCCACTGATCGACAGTTGTTGGAAGAACTTGCAAAGAAACAGAGCGATGTGCAAACATGCAGGATTGAAAATATTCAGGATTCTGCCATGGATGACTTTGTCCAGGACCAAATTGTGATTCAACATCTTCATCGACTCTTATACGTGCAAGAAATGGCCATTAGTGCAGTGGTTCTCAAAGTGGGGTCCGGGACCCCCAGGGGTCCTTGAGAGGGTTTCAGGGGGTCCCCAGCAAAATGGGAATAGATTCTTTTCACTATCAGCCATCCATAAGTAACACAAAGACAGAATGTAGACTATTTTGGTCATGGTTTCATACATGTTTGTAATAAAATTTAAAAGCAAAAATGCAATCAGATGAGGGACCTTGGAAAATCTTTTCAAATGGGGGTCCATGGTCTAATATATGTCAGTTTAGGGTCATTGATGTGAAAATGTTTGAGAACCAAGCAGTAGTGAACTTCTAGAGACACACATGCCTCTATTAGTGTGCAGTGTTTGACTATACACTTGACAGAAAAACGGCACAGGTACAACTACATTTTTCACTGCAGTACACAGAGCATGCAGTGCTACTGTAGAGCTCATGAGAAATGCATGTTGCTGATATAGAAAGGGGAAGTGAGGTCACTCACACATCTCCACGCTGGTGAAGAAAACTCAGAAACGGAAGCTTGAGGAAGCTTAAGAAGGCCAAATTCCACGGCAAGTTCTTGTCAGCTTTTACAGAGGAGCAATAGAAACATCCTGACTGGGAACATCACAAACTGGCAT